AGCCTTTTCTTGTTGACATTTGTGAGTAATAAACTTTGATTTGATATCATTCTTCTGCTTTCTTACTTGTGTTACTGTTTCACTGAGTTCTCTTCTTTACCTGATACAATTGATTTTTGTAAATGGACTCGAGCTTGTATAGCACTTTTCTAGTCTTCTGACTACTGAAAGTGCTTTTACACTGCATGTCACACCTACACATTCACACACTGATGGCAGTGGTTGCTATGTAGTGAGACCTTAAGAAGCCGCCGATGAAGCAGCGGGAGCAATTCGGGGTTAAGTGTCTTGCCCAAAGACACATTGGACATGTTGCTGCAGGAGCTGGAGATCAAACCCTCGACCTTCCGGTAGAAAGAAGACGACTCAATCCACTGACCCACAGCTGCCCATTTTAAAATGTAATGCAAGAAGGTTTATTTATATAGCACTGTTCTGAGACATCAGCCACAAAGTGCTTTAGTAAACCTATTTCCACTATGTTGATTAGGTTTCATAAGTCCCATGGTTCACTGTGATCCCAAGGTTCACTTCAGACATGGTTGAATGAGCTATAGCAAATAGAAGACTGACGTTCTAACAGAAAAGGCTCCTCGGTCATCTGGGAGATGAGTTTAGCATGATTTCTCCTCAAAAAACACCACCACTTTCTCCATGTCGCACAGCCCGTATTTATAGTGTTTAGGTAGTTGGACTGTAGTAGTACTCGAGTTGTGTCTTGTGTGAAGACAGAACCTCTATCATGTGAGGTCTCAGTCTAGTCTGGGAATTAACCAAATATTTCCTTGGTTTTGTCTAAGTCTTGGATAAAGAAGACTCCAGATTTTTAATCAATGCCACCACTGATTGATTCCTCCACATCATAACTGTGAATAGAAGGAAAACACCCCTTCATAAATGCAACCAAAAACAAATTTGTAGTTTGACATTTTAGTCTGTTGAAAGCCCAAAACCTTCTCCAGCCCATTTCATACAAGTTCACATTTGAGTCACAAAATGTTTTAATCCATCATGTTTCTTAATTAAATTCCCATGAAAAAGATGAACCTTTTAAGGACATGTCGGGGGTTGAGGGGTTGAGCCACCAATCTCTTCATGTGTTAATTCTTGGTGGTGAGATTGGTTTTATGAAGAGTGCTTTGGTTTGGCATAGAATGTGATCGTTTTCAGAACTCCATCCATCAATGACTTTTTGTAATTTATAAATGAAACACATGAATAGCTCTGGATGGTTTCCCTATGATGGTGCTTTGAAAAGATCGTAGTGGAAATTGTCAGACTTTGATGATGTTGACACGTTAGTACAGACAAAAAAAAACATCTATTCTGTTCAGACTCGTGATAGTTTGTCATGTATATGATCTTGGCCTTCTTTCTTAATCCCATAATGTTTTGGTCCTCTGGTACATTCTAGTCTCAGCCATGACTTCAATCAATGTGGTCTTGACAACTACACTAGATAGACAAACACAACAAATCCAAATGAAAACTGACAGCAGACGAAGACTGAAAGAAAAATCCACAATTACAAATCTGTCTGATACTTCAGCACCATTGGACAGCACCATGGATTTAAAAATAGACAGAACAGTAAAGCCTCTGATATTTCAGAGCTGTAGTCTGGCCATAGATTCTTTGTGGCAACCTCAGTCAGAAAAGGGATCAATGAATAAGGCAGACAAGACTCAAATATTAAAGTAAATAACCCATCTGCCCCCTGTCTCGTTGCAAAGGGGGGCTGGGGAGGTTAAAAAGGAGGGGGCACTTGTTTGTTAGCTAACAAGGGGGTAGCATCCTCTCTCATCTCTCAAATCGCCTAGCTCATGGGACCCTGAACACAGATCGACAACACAAGTCAACACCAAAATGCTCCACTCTCAACAACGCTTGACTAAACAGTGTCACAGAGGTTGTTGAGATCAGACTCCTGAGGATTTCCACACTTCAGAGAGTCTGACTGTTATCAGGCCCACTGACATGTTTGAATTTAGGCTGAATGAAAAGAAGCCAATCACAAATATTAAATGGACTTAAATGGTAAATGGACTTGAGCTTGTACAGTGCTTTTCTAGTCTTTTGACTACTCAACGCGCTTTTACACCACAGGTCACACCTACACACTCACACCCATTCACACACTGTGAAGTAATTAATCCCATTCATACACATGCATACACCACCACCTAAGCAGCAGGTGCAATTTGTGGCTAAGTGTCTTGCCTAAGGACACATCGGACATGTTGCTGCAGAATCGAACCCCCAACCTTCCGGTCGAGAGACAACCGACTCCACCACATGAGTCACAGCCAACCATAGAATGAGAAGTTCTAAGTTTCAGGAGAAGAGTTTTTTGACCTGGAGATGGCAGTGGAAATGTTACAAATGCTGTCTTACACTTATGTTCAACTTTCAGTCAACCTTAGCAACAGACAAAGAGTTGGAGCTGAATCAGGGCCATCTAACAACGCCCCTAATTATTGCATTGCTTTCAGCCTTAATATAAAGTGAAAAATAAAATCCCACCTGTACATTAAGTCTTGAGCTATTCAAGAAAAGCTATTTTTTTTAAACTAGGCTGTCAACTTTTTCATTTCTACTGTCAACATCAGCACTTTAACATGGGTGTTAATAGGACTTCTGGGTCTTTTGCAGCCAGCCTCAACTGGACACTTGAAGAACTTCAGCTTTTTGCAAATTTGAATTGGCTTTATTTTTTCAAAATCTGAGTTTGCTGCTTGATCGTTAGTTAAAAAATCCTAAACTATTCATATTATTGCTAGCAGTTAGCATGCACAAGCATCTTTAGGTGAGATGCTGTGATTTGTTCTCAAAGCTGCAGTGCTGAATGGAAGCTCTGTAGTTTAGCTTTATTACACTGCTAAACTCCCTCAACAAAAAAAATAAACGCCGGTCACCAAAATAAGATCACCAAATGGATCACATTAAACTCCTGCAGCTGAAAAAACAACAATAGCAGGGAAAACTCAAGAAACGCTGCCCTTGATAATTATTTGCAGCCATCAGGAATTACTCGCAGATTAAGTGTGTGAAGAGTAGAATAGCTGCTGTGTTACTATTCCTATGACTGATTCGCCATATTAATCTCATAATGTATGTCATAAATCATCTGAGCATAGTCACACTCAATTAAAGCCCATCATCAGGAACGATAATGAAACTTGATGACAATAATTTTGGATTTGAAGGTATCCCAATTTCAAATTAGTTTTCAGATGCCAGCATATATTACATAGAAATGTGGGCTATTAAGGATTGAGGTTTTGGGGTTTAAAAATAAAAAAAGTAAAGCAGTCCAGCAATGCTAGTAATAGCTTACTTTCTCTTTTACACACCCTGACTGATGTTTGCTTCTAAGCATGTTAAAACCCAGCAGGTACCTCCACACTTGAAATGAAGCCAATGTGGAAGAGCCAAAGCAAAAAACTGCAAAAGCTCCAGAAGTCTTATCCATACCAAATATTGAAATGTCCATTTTTACAGCAGAAATAAACTTATTTACAGCCTGTGAAAAACAATGTCAGTCTGAATGGCTAATGTCTTCATCAGCACACAATGTACGTGGAGGTGGCGTTTTATTATAACTCACCCGTTTTGATTTTATGGAGAATAAGGGTTAATCATTACAAGAACTGATCTGAGTGATGCCAAGTGTCTTAAGACCCACCACAGCTCCAACTTTGTCTGTTTTTAGATTGGCCATCAATTAGTTTGAGAAATAATTTTCCAATATGGCAGCCAACACTGATGGGCTTCAAAAGTCCTCTTCAGAAAACATTGTTTCACATCACTGAGACTATGTCCATCTTGAATACAGTCTATGGTTATAAAAAGGAGTCTAGGAGTCAAATGTTTTTTTATGCGGTTACACATTGCTGCTGTACTGTCTTCTTTACTTCCTGTTTGGATACAATTCTGACATTAAATTTGGAAATAAAAAAAGGAACTTCTGGTTGTCCTGATTTACGACATTAACTTAACCACGGAAAAAGCAACCCCTTATGGATGGACAAGTAAATGGAAACAGAGAACATAAAAAAAGTTCAATGTTTGATGTCACAGGGTGGATTTTACTTGTGACTTGTCAACTGAGCCGTCCGGGAGATTCCATTACTGTGACTACAGGGAAATGCTGAGGTGGCTTACATATGGTGCATCTTAAGGGTCAAAATAGCACATGACTGTTATGTTAAAAAACATGATTACATACATTTCTGACATTAATCGGTTCACTGTTGACACTTTTTTTAAGTGTCTTTTGCATTTAGAAGAAATAAGTCAGTGGATAGAGTCAGAAACCGGGGAGAGAGTTACAAATGACATGCAGGAAAGGACGCACAGGTCTAATTTGAACCTGGGCCGCCCTCTTGGAGAGCCACAGCCTCAATACGAGGGGTGTGCACTAACCATTAGGCTACCGGAGCCCCGACACACCCTTCAACACAAAGAGCAAAACAGATGAAGCACAAAATATACAGTTTTTTTTCATGATGAGTGCATGTTGACGTGAGGCAAGGACCCTCTTGACATGCAGAAATAGCGGCCAACACTTACTTTTTGTCTTCACTGAAAAATGCAATTGAGAATATATAATGCCCTTAACCTGATAATGCCTGGAACTCTTTGCAGTGGCCTGTTTGTACAAACCAATGCAGCTCCACACTGTGCTAATGATCTCTGCATTAATCCTGTCATTCAAATGGCCTCCACAACATTTACATCCATCCTATTATCCTAATTAATTAGTCCAATAACAACGGGGTCAGTTTATTTTCCTGCCAATAATTATGTTGTAATGATATTGTGGGAACACGTAATGATGGGTAATAAGTGAAGCGAGAAATCCACCGGGGGGGTCACACAAAGTCAGAGATGAGGTGATAAACACAGAGGGGTGAGCGAAGAGAGAGAGACAGGCAGAGACGAGGAGGAAGTAGCAGCAGCTGATGTGCTTATTAAAAGAAAACAAAGCAGTTAGTTACCTAAGGAGGATTTCCAGCTGATGGAGGGCTCCGGTTTACCGCTGGCCTGGCACATCAGGGTGACGTTGGAGCCTTCATTTACAGTACGATCTCTCGACAGGTTGATGATTTTTGGTGGTACTGTCAAAGCAAATGAAACATGTCAATTAATTAAACGGTGTCATAAAGAGGGATCCCAACAAATGAAACTCCTCATGTGCGAAGAAATTACATAGATACATAGATACAAATGTACGACAGAAAGCCTGTGTTACAACTGGTTTTGGGAAAATCAATAAACATGGAATTACTGCCAATTTCCACGCACGCTGTGGTCAGTCATCGGCACACACTAAGGCGCCATTCGCTGCCATTCTCGTCAATGCTCAACAAAACAGACACCAAACAAACAACAAAGCAACCCCCGAAAGACAAAGCAACCTGTTGTTAATTTGCACGTTTTTTTTTTCCCTTTATCCTAGTGTGATCTTGTAGTTCTCCTGTGATGTGTTTACAGCAGCTCATGGCTGCACTCATGCTCTTGAGAGGGACCCCGTGGGGCAGCGGGCACGCCGTTAGATGGAGCTAAAACTGTGGCACTGACGGATCGCAGTGCGCATGAGGACAATGTGGAAATTGGCAGTCGCCATGCAAATTAACCGGGAAAGTCAAAAGTATTGTTCAGACACAATCTCTGAACCCATCAGCAATGATTGTCTATCACTGTCTGATGGACGATATGCGTCTGGGAACGAATGCCAATTTCAATGTAATTTACGTTTTAACGACTTCCAGCCAAGATTTATTTTTCTGAGCAGCATTTTTGTCTGCAACATAAACGTCATCATTTCTTGGCCCATGATATACCTCAGAGTTGCGCCCTTTCATCTGTTGCTTGTTAGTCTCAGTGGAGAGGTGAAAAACTTGAATGGAGGTTGAATTTCTTATGCATTTCAGGAATTCAGGGAATCTAAATGTTGATTGGCTCTCATGACAGAGCGTCAAGCAGATTTGTCACTTCATACAAATTAAGACAGAACACTTTACATGCAGAACATCCAGACCCATTGTGTACTGATTCCTAATTTTTAAGTATAATCTGTAAATTGAGATGAATTCAGAGCAGAATTATTTTTATTGTGTAAGAAAGCAGAACTGAATTGCCCTCTGGGAGAAGTAAAGTTTTCTAAGTCTAAGTCTAAAACAAAGATGTAAGTAGACAGGAAGTTTCACTGGGTGATGTGTCTGATGGGAAATGCATGTGATGTCTGTGAGATAAAAACATACAAGTCTTAATATTCCCCGATACTCTCAGTGGCCTGAAGTTAGCAACACAACTCAAATAAAAACTCCAACCAATAAACAAGACTTCAAAGCATTTCAAAAGTTGTTGCTTTTCTTGCCTTGCAGATCATAGAAACATTTTTTTGTCTACTTTATCATACAGTTAAAGGATGTTATACAAAGGTATCATTTTGACCTTTTTATAACATCAAGAAACAAGAAAATCTGATCGTTTTGGCTTAGTGAGCTTAAAGTCATCAACCTGGATACTGGTCAGTCTCGTGTAGCTGGAAGTTGCAGTCTAGTTAAGCAGACACAGAGAAGGCGTACATGCACAGAGCTGTGTGGTCCTCAAGGGGAACTTATGAAACCAGACATGATGGTTTTAAAATGTAACTGGAAGGGTGCATTTTTGCTGAATGGGTTTGATCATTGTTGGAAAAGATTTCTGAAACTGCAGGCAATCTGAGTAACTCACAGCCAAAATTAGCTTAATGGAGAGACACTATCATTATGAAGTGTGTTTAACGGCTTACTACGACTATGTGTCTTTCAGAGCAGATTTTCAGATTAAAACAAAAGCTATCTTCCAAACTTCCCCTCCCCCCTTCTGTTTCCACATTTTCTCCCGCCCCTCCCGTCTTGTTTCACTTATAGGGACTGAGACAGCAGCAGACTAGAGAAAACAAGATTCTGCAGTCAAGTATTGATATGCATCTCAAAGTTGATTTGGTTGTTATGTTTGTCTTTTTAGGACGTCTTCTCTTTGGTTTTGAGAGTTTGTTAGTCCTCTCTGTCGTTCTCTTGTAACAACACTGTTTTAAAGCCTCTAGACATAAGTTCCCTGAGAGGATGGGTCCAGGTCCGTCTCACTCCACCCACGCGGTGACAGGGCTAAGGGTCTGTTAGGGAGGGGTTACCTAAAAAAAAAAACATGTATGAAACATGTTTGTGCCTCTGAGTGAAACATAAACAAGCTGAAGGAAGCTCTGTTCTGTCCATGTTAACACAGAGCTAAGAAAAACAAATCCAGAGGGAGTTTTAATTCACTCTTTTTAGGAAGTCTTTACTCCACTATATTTTTACAAAGGTTATATTTGAAGAGTTGCAAAAACAGATACGATCCATCCTGAAGAACAATGCCCTGATAGTTTTGATTAGCATTTTAAATAGAGATGTTACGTGATCCGAAAACCTGTTCTGTTGCAAAAACCCAATACAGTCTATGGGGAACTCTGTGAAAGCCACACAACTTCAGTCTGAATGATATTACCTGAAATAAACAATAATTGAAAACATTTTAACTGCTTTAACTGCTTTTGCACATGAATTCTTCAAATTTTGATTGTTGTTTTGAAAGCTGCACATGCCTTTAAACTTCACCTGTTGTATGAAGGTGTACATTTGGAGGGTTAGGTTTGTTGTCTTAAAAGTCTGAGGAAATGCTGGGGTTTATTTATTTGTTACAATACCCTGTATTGTCCCGTTGTGGAAATTTGTCTTGGTCTCAAAGTACTGCCAAACGTTCAGCTGCTTCCTGGAGAATCAATCAATAAATAAAACAATAGAAAAACACATCCACATGTAAACAGAAGGCCATATACCAATGCAAAACAGCACAACATATATTACACATTACCCATTTTGCAAAAGATCTGCAAAAACACAGCATGAGATAAAAAAGGCAACACCATGTGGCTATTGCAAAACCTACACACCCTTAGGAATCATAGGTGTGTATAAAAAACCAAAGGTAAAGACAAACATAAAGGTGTATTTCGGTAAAAGGGGTTAACTTGTGGAATACTTATGCCATGGAATTAAGAATGTGTAGTTCACTTTCCAGATTTAAATTTTTGTTTAAAAAAATGGTGTTTAACAAATATCAAAGGTCGGTTTGATTATTTTTTGTGAGTGTGACTTCTGTTTTGTTTTTTGTTTGTTTCATTTGTTTTGTTTTGAAAGAAATTCTTGGAACAAATTTTGTTCTGATATGTTTTGTTTTTTTAGTAATCAAACTAGTAGTGTCTTAAATAATTAGATTTGTAACAAGGGTAGGTGTAATAAGCTAAAACTTCAGCCTACACCTTTTCAGTCAAAATGTTTTTGTTTTTTCTTGTGACCGAAATAAATGATTACTACTACTACTACTACTATTATTCCACATTTTCATTGGCATGGGTACAAACAACAAACAATGGAACCACTATCTCTTGTAGTGCATACAGACTGCTTAAAATGCACTTTTAGAGTTATGTTACCTTCTTCAATTTGTTGAACATCTCATTTTAATCATGCACAAACAATAAGTTAAGATAATGTTTCAGTCTTCCCAAGAAAAAAACAAAACAACCAAAACTTTGAATACTGTTGTTACAAATGTGAGACTTTGTGATGCAATGGTATGATATACCTGCTTTTTAACTTTTTGATTTGATTTGTAGAAGATGCTTTGTCAATATCCGTGTCTACATCGAATGCCCTCTGGGAACTTTTCAGAGGTAAACTCAGACTCCACCTTCAGTGTGCTGCTAACGTGTAGAGAGGAGGTGATGGAGAGGGAGCTAAAGGCTTCCCGGAGCTCGCTCCACTGGGAAAAAGGTTTGCAACAAGAGCTCTATTTTTAGCATTCTGCTTGCACACTCTGAAAGTTGTATACCTGTTTAAATGTGAAGAATGTGTTATCAGTGTCTGTGATGTGTAGAAGGGCAATTATTCACAGTTTAGAGGTGCACTGAAAATGTAATAAGAAAAAAAAAAAAGTGCCACACAAACATGTTCATTTATAAGACAAGCCTTGTGCCTTTCCTCTGTGACAGATTCTAATGAATAATGCCGTCACTTCACTCGAGCACCTTAAAGATATGAACACAACAGATTTCTTGCAAAGCGTGTAAACTCAATATTATCTCCTGCAGCACAGAAATCAATAAAGGGAAATTATGTTTATATGAGAATGGAGTCACTGTCATGTTTAATTCACTCTGCTCTGTACTTCCCCGTGGTAAATTAAGATTTTTGTTATAAGGCTTTGCATCCGACAGAGAGAGTCATAAACTGCTATGTTCCCCTAAGTGACAGTTAAATAACAGGTTTGAATGTATGACTGCTACGTTAAAGATGGGTGACTGGGAGAGACTCTCCGACAAACGTTTTTCTACCACACTAAAGATAAACATAGGTTAGTTTGTTTTAACACTGAGGTCACATTTAAAAGATCAAGCACAATTATAATATTTGCAGGATAAAGACGATTACCATAAATGTGTGGGATTTGGTAAAAATCAAATGATAAGAGGGTTAAACGTACAATATGTAGAATTTTATGACAATGTTTAAATTCAAATATCTATATCCATTAGAAATTGACTTTTTTTTGTTGAGTACCTATTACATCAAATATTTCCAAAACCCAGAGCCACACGGGGCATGTCTTGTCGTGGCGTACATTTAAAGCTTATCCAATGGCAACTGGACTGGTTGAAGATTTTGAAGACATTTCACCTCTCCTCCAAAAGGAGAAATGAAGAAGCCTTTCAGAGATCTCTAACCAGTCCAGTTGCCTTTGGAACGAAGCTTTGAAAAAAAAAAAAAAACAGCGTCAAATCCAGGTTCACAAAGTGTGCATGCATCTGAGCCAAAAAGAGAAACATTTTCAAAAGCATTACACATAAATAAAAATCACACATTGAAAGTAAAAATAAAAACTATTCTTCAGTGCTAAACTTCAAAGAACAGTTTGAAAGGAGTGCAGAGAGCAATGTCTCCAACAAGCAAACAACAGATCTCTTATGAAAAGCACTTTGTTCAGAAAAAGTCGTACACTCCATTGAGGATGCTGCTCCAAGGTTAACAGA